ACACACACACACACACACACACACACACTACATATATATATATATATATATATATATATATATATATATATATATATATATATATATATATATGAGTATGAGAGAGAGTAGTATTTATTTTTGTAATTTTTTTTGTATATACTACTCTACTCTTTTCTCGCTCTCACCTAGAGAGTGAGAGAGTAGAGTCTCTTTTTATGCTTTCTGTCCCTTATTGCGTTAAAACGGAAAATAAATAAATCAAATAATAGCGTTTACGTTCAAAGTTTATCCTAACTATAGTCCGGGTTTTCAAATAGGTACGTATTTTGAGGCGGCCTATTATTCACGAATTGCCCAAAAACCAGCTCATCCTTTGTTGTCAAAATAAAGTTCTGTGACCACTATTGTTTATTTACTTCTTGCACATATATACACGTGAAACTATGCAATTGTAGTCGTCTGAACTTCAGAGAGCCTTCACAGAGAGGACGTAATGGAACTGGGTGTGCTAGGTCTTTACTGCTTTCTAGATTTTTCGATACAGTTGAATTGTAACAGCTGACTTAAGATACTAATTATTCTGCTGTCGTACACTCATTATGTATATACCTAGTCATTCAAGGTCTATATCCTCAAGGAGCACACATCCTTCTTATTGTAAGTAGCACACATTCTTCTAATTGTAAGTAGCATACATTCTTTTAATTGTAAGTAGCACACATTCTTCTAATTGTACGTAGCACACATTCTTCTAATTGTACGTAGCACACATTCTTCTAATTGTGTACCATTTTTCATGTCCATACAGGGCTTGGATAACTTCCTGGCCTTCGGTTGCACCAAATATGCAAGAGTGATCAATGCGTTTAAGTAAGGTTAATAAGGATGATAAACATGATAAAATGTTCCGAAGGTTGCACGCGCATGCATATACTATACGTAGTACCTATACACTATACTATCAATACACAGCATCTAAAGTATCGACGGGAGCGATCCTACCGTGTATGTTTCGTACAATGCGAATCATTCAATACCCTGCGACTCGAGATAGAGTCCATCTGCTGCTGGAAGAAGTGTAATTTCGTGCTGTTTGTTTCCTAATCGACAACCTGTAACCGCAGGTCAATATAACTGTGTGTAGCATAGCAGGAGCGTAGCACTGAATGCCGAAGATCCTGTCTGTTGAATCGTACGTTTTAAGATTCCGGTATATTTGCTGTGGGAAACAGGCAAGGCCAACTCAGAGCACTCGACCGTCAGCTTCATAGGTACCACGTCGTGCATGACTTGACTTACAAACAAAAGGCCTTATCGAACTTTACGGTTTTAAGTGTTTTGTTTAATTGCTATCAGAATCGGACAGACTCACAGCGAACTTGGCCGTAAACTTCTCCTGCGCCGCATCGCGTACGACCTGCCCTTTACGCAAACGGTCCCGTATCAACAGAAAACGGGACATGCGTCTCCATTTGTTGAGCACTGTTTGCTCTCGTTTGCTTTCTGCGAGACGTTCCTTTTCCTGTGCGAAACAAATACAGAGGTAAAACAATAAAATTTCGGTCTTTGTTTGTCGGTGTATATGTTATTGTACATCAGGATTCGTGAGCGAATTAAAATGGGACGATACGTGAACGAATGGATTGTCACATGTATATTTTGTATTGATTATAAAAGAGAGCGTACACTGTACACATATGATATAAACAATATAGTATATACTGTTTTACTAGAGTTTTAGGTCACTTGGTCCTGTACACTTATGATATAAATAATATAGTACATACTGTTTTACTAGAGTTTTAGGTCACTTGGTCTAATAATGCCACTTAAACAGATACTTCCATAATTCTGTACCCAGGCAAAACTACATGTACGTGTGTTTGTAAGCGCAACAATCGCTGCCATACCATGCGTTGTTGTATCCACGCGTCATTGAGTACTCCGGCGTTCTCTGATAAAATCACAACACCACCGTATTTGGGAGTCATCTATAACCGAAGAAGGCGGCGAAGAGTGTTAATATAATTCAGTGAAAGAAACGATGATGGATCCTAGAGATTTATATGTATGAATATATGTATGAACAACTTAACGATGCCACCACAATAAAACACTAACAGGTACATGACATACACATGTCTGTGGGAATGATATATATATATATATATATATATATATATATATATATATTATAGTATATATATATATATACTAATATATATATATATATATATATTATTATTATTATATATATATCT